TGCAGCAGACAGGAGCTAGTTCAGAGGTCTAATTCCCTTGCATTCATTCCATCCTTGCATTTGGACTTCGGTTTGGGCCTGCACTACACAAAAGGTAGGAAACAAATTCTGTGCTCAAGGACCGAAGTAAGCAGAGATGGCAACCCCAACAGCTGATACATCATACATATGCCTTGCCCAAGCTGACATTCCGTATAATTTACATGAATACGGCACTGTATCAGCTGCTGGAGAAGAGGGGAATAAAAGCAATAGAGACCTGAGCCTTTTTCTGTGGACCTCAGGACAGAAAAGCAGCAACTCTCAGTACAAGCTCCCTCAGGTCTTTTGCTGCCTCGTGACATCCCTAACGCAGAGTCAGACTCCTGAGAGATGCATGTACTCAGGAGAGGTGCTGCTGTAAGCTCAACACTGCACGGGGAAACACCTCACCAACCAAACAATGAGGAGAGGGCTCTAATATAAACCTCTACAATTCCAAACTCTGCAAGTACCAAAGGGAAGTGCCCAAGAGACCTGAATGGTGTTACTAGGACCTGACAGCTGGTTTCTGCCTGGGGAGAGCATTTGAGGACCACTCCTGGGACCAAGCCCTCACCTCTAAGGAACATTTATTTATTTTATGCCACACACAGGGGGATAAACCACAGAAATGTTAGTTCCTTGCTGCACCTCCAAGTTTTTGTAATATTATGTTTCTGGAGATGTTCAAGTACTTTCTCACCAAGGATGAATGTGAAATTGCATCTTTCACAGTGCAACTCAATTCCTTTTCCCTGGGGTAAAGATGGCAGCTCTTGCATGCCTTCACAGCCTCGCTGTGCTGTCAGGAAGGCTCAGCTGCCATCTTAGTTATTTTGAATGTACCTAGAGTTCAGGTGCTGCTGTGAAGCACAGGTCCTCACACCATGGTATCACCATAGTACTGAGGGGAAAATGATCCCCCTCATCTTGCCCTCTTTCAGTTTGCATCTAGCACCTCCTGCCCTTCAAAGTCAACCCATCCTCCCCAGCCAGCTCAAAACACCTGGACCAAGTACGTCACAAGTTCAAGCCAGAGATAGCATAACAGGAGACAAAACTCCAAAATAAAACAGTGAACAAGAGATTGCACCTTCACAGAAACAAAGAATCATAGAATGTCAGGGGTTGGAAGGGGCCTCTGGTGATCATCTAGTCCACCCCCCCTGCCAGAGCAGGATCCCCTAGGTCAGGTCACACAGGAACGTGTCCAGGTGGGTTTTGAAAGTCTCCGGAGAAGGAGACTCCACAACCTCTCTGACCAGCCTGTTCCAGTGCTCCATCACCCTGGCAGTTTGGATGTTTGGATGGAAATTCCTATGTTCAGGTTTGCACCCGTTAACCGCTTGTCCTGTCACTGGGCGCCACTGAAGAAATACTTGCCCCATCCTTCTGATATCCACTTACAAGCATTGCTAAGATCCCCCCTCAGTCTTCTCCAGGCAAAAAAGGCCCTTAACAAGATTTAGCCTCAGGTTTCCACCTTGGATGCCTCATCACAGTGGCTAAATCCACCAAAGCTCCACTGCCTCTGAGCACAGGGATTAAGGCAGACTCCCTGGCCCCATCATCGTCTGTGCCCAGGGCATCCTGAGTGCGGCACTCCAGGGCTGTCTGCGCTGCACAAGTCTCAGGGAGCAGTGCAGAGCAGCTGGAGGAGGAGGAGGCTTTTCCTGTGGCTGCTGTGTGGCTCCCAAGGTTGTTGGTTAGGTGCAGAGCTCTGGAAGGTACAGAGGGAATTTAACTCCCCAGTGTACATAATGAAGCTCCTGAAAAGCTATCCCTATAATTAGCTATGTACACAGCAAACACAGTCACCAGGGACATTGCTTTTTGCTCCCAGGCTTTTTTTCAGAACCAGAGCTTCATTCATGTTCTGTTTTGTTTCCCTTCAACACCAAGGAAGAGTCACGTCGCTGTGCCTAATTCCTGCAGCTGTTGCATCCACACAGGGCCAAGATACGAACCTCAGACACCCACGCAGCCAGTTTCCCTCACAGTGTCTGGTCTGGGCCACAGAGGCGCGTGACACTGGAAACGTCTACAAAGAAAAAGCTCCTCACAGGTGTCTCCACAAGAAGACCTTCCCACTTTATTCCAGAGAAAGCAGTACAACCCTTCTGAGGGAGGAACAAGCTACAGCCATAAAAAGGAGCAGCATTCCCACTGAGGGAATGCAAGCAGGGCTCTTGCTAGGACATACAGCCCTGAATGTTTTAGGACTGGTATAAAATCAGGAGTTCAAAACCATCACAAACCACTGACATGGGGATGTCGGAAGGCAGATGTGAGTTTGCTCTGCCTGGGCTCAGAGGTAAGTCATCTCCGATCCTCAAACCTGTAGTGTGTGGCAGGGTCTGGAATGAGACCCTATGTCTCCTCAGTGCTTAGGAAGGTGCTGAGCCCTGTGCTCACACCTTCACACAGCCCTAGAGTTAGAGACAACTGATCCTCTCTCCACCATGCCCTTCACACAGGCTTGGAAAACTCCAACACCAAAGTCATGGCTTCTTCCAGTCCAGCACTGCAGCCTCTTCCCACACCCAGGGGCTGAGCTACTAGCCAAAAATAGTGAGACATTTTGACACCTTAGACTCTTCCCCTCTCTTTGGGGTTCAGCCTCCTGCTTTCAGCATCTTTCCCATACTTCTGCGGTCCTTCTTCAATGCACAAAAGCCACAAGAACATCCAGCAGGTTTATGCAAAGATACTGTCACATGAGACACGTTCATTCACAAGGTCACCTGGTGCAGACAGTTCTCTTCCCTGGGCCCAGTGTTCACTTGCAGCTTTGGGACTAGAGTGTAAATCCAATGCAACAAACACAGTGGCAGGTATGTGACCCATCCTGAACAGTCTCATGCTTCAGAAAAAAAGACACTTGAGAGGTCAGCAGAGATGGCTTATTCCAGCTGTTATATGAACACTACACCCATGGATCAAACTTTATGGCCTTGTAGGCTCCAGCTGATGACTGTGACAATCTCCACTTTCGGGACCACATGCCAGTGGCAGAAAGTTGCTGTGAAATGGCTGCTCAGAAGAGAGGACATGCAAGTAAAACAATTTTATGGGCTGAGGGCAGGTGCTTCCATTTTTACCAGCCCAAAGAAACAAATATGTAGCATGTAATGCCCCCAAATCACCTCTCCCTTGAAATATTCAGCATTATTATCTAGCTGCATCCAGAAGCAATACCACAGGTTCTCATAAGCCCCGTGAGAAACAGAGGTTAGAGAGCACTCAGCTGTGACAAACTGAGAATTGAACAGAGGTGGTTTGTATCTCCCTCCACTCCTCCCTCTTTTTCTGTCCTTTTCAGAACTGACATATTTAGAATACAATTCTTGGCTATTTTGTTAACTATAGAGCTTCCGAGACCCTCTATTGCCCAGCGCCCTACCTTTTATGGGAGAGCTCCCTGTACAGCGAGACAGTTTCCCAGCCTTGTCAACACAAGGCACATTCCTGAATACTGTTTTGGTCACAGCAATTTTGATTGCCGCTACCAACTGCTACAGCATGAGACTTGCTTTAGTTAAGCAGAGGAGAAGGGAGGTAAGTCCATCTGTATGGGAGACAGAGCCTTAGGAAGATAAAAGACATCAGTCTGATGCACATGGAAGAGGCAAGAGCTAACACAGGTCTGGAATCTGCCTCTCTATTGTACTGAGAGCATCCCTTCTGTGGCCTTCATGGTATCTAGCAGTTACTTTGCAAACCTTCCAGCTCCTGAATTCTGCCTCTGTAGTGGGGAGCTGTGTTTGCCTCATCCACAAGAACAACTTCTTTCTATTCCCAGTTCTTCACCTCAGGCTGAGGTTTATCAGCTCCATGCCTCTTATGCTCCCTGTCCTAAGCCAAGTTCTTCAAGCCTTGAGAGACGATGCAGTCACTGCTTGACAGGAGCATCCATACTTCATGCCAAAGGATGCTGAGCCAAGTATGAGGCAAGCCTACTGCATGCATCTAGTACAGCAGAACACAGATGGCTCATACACCTCTCCTGCAAAGTCTTCATTCCCTGTAAGCCAGCACTGGGACCTCTGAGGGATGTCTGAGGTCAATACACAGGTATTAGGCTTTCCTTCTAATGCAGTGTAGAGACATCTCCTATCTTGCAATACAACTTTCTACTGCCCTTCTGCCATAGCTCCCATTCCTCTTAGCCTCAGTTTGCATCTTAAGCTCATTCATTTTTGCTGCACCAGCTTAGACTTGCTGTATCCAGTGCTGTTCTGATCCCAGAACTTCATATAAATCTCTCATCCCGGTGGAAATACCGTTGACGATGGGTCCAGTTCCATGGGGAATGACAACAAATCTGCAACAAATAGCAACAAATCTGATTGGCTAGGCATTGCAGGCTTGGTTAAATTCAGAGAAAGAAGATTTTTAAACTTACTTGCTCAAAAATGCACAGGCTTTGTCCTTAACTGAAAGACATGGGAAGCGGGAAATCACATATTTGCATAAAAATTCAGGCTATTCATTTTCTGCTTTATTTAGTAAAATCAAAGGAAAAGTTAATGTGATGTCTAGCAACCAATCTGTTTCTAGTATCAGGAGAGGTTTATAGTGGATCCCAGCACAGAAGCTAAAGCAAAAAGAATGAGGGAAACAGGTCTCTGGGAACTACAAGCTTTCTCTCTGATATTGTCATTTTGCTATATCAATTACCCTTTGCTCCAACAGAGGTGGTATGGTAGGACACAGTGTGGGGCAATATCAGAGCTCCTGGAGTACTGAGAAAAGAGACCTGAACCCAACAAATGAAAAGGGAAAAGAGATTCTAGAGTAGATTCCTAGAGAGATTCCAGACAGTATATATGTACATAGCATGGCAATGGGAATCCATGACTGACTCGGCCCCTTAATCCTATTATTCCAGGAATTTCTGAGCTGAAGGTCTTGGTGAACTCTTCATATCCCAGACACAGAGGTCTCTAGGCACAGTCATCGTGCTGGCTGAGAAAGCATCAGAGTTCCTCATTGAGGGTCTTCTCAGGTTTGTCTTCTTTCTAAAACACATTAGATGCATGAAATCAGTTTTCACATTGGGCAGTTTCTCAGCATAGTGATAAAAGGAAACAAATCAATTTAAATGCCTCCCCCTGCTGTATATGCCATTGCTCTGCCTATACCATTTCAATTGCACAACACAACATACAAACCCTCTGTGATATAGGAAGATGAGTTTCAACAACAACAAAAAAAGAACTAATGCTGAATGAATGTGGAGGTTAAACTGTCTCTGTCCCAGCAGAGACCTCTGGTAGAGTCACTGTACTCTGTTCTGTGGCCTTCCTGAAAGATTTACTTCCTACACATTCCACTAGTTCTTTGATCCTCTCTTACATGCTGCCGTCCACCATCCCCATTCTCAGTGTCCAAAAGCACCCTTTATTCCATCTCCCCAGATGCTCTTCCCAGAAAACAGATCCTTCACTGAGACCTTCATACAGGTGCAGAGGTCAGTAAAGTCTTCTTGCTGCTGGAAGATGTCAATGAAGGCTCTGCACATCCATCTCTCCTCTGCTTTATATCCAATGCTTTTCTGATAGTCAGGTATAAATAAAGATGAAAGAGGAGGTGACAGAGTTTGGGAGGAGTTCAAGGAACTGAAGTAATTTTCTTCAAGAGCCTTGTGAGAGACAGCGTTGCCCTAGAATGTCTTATCTTTCCATAGACTGTACAGGAGTCCCCCTTTACCTTCTGTATTCTTTGTAAGAAACGATTACAGAAATCCTGTACACGTTCAACAGAGACTTCATCCAGAGTCAACACATCCTGTTCCTCATCTGGTGTGTGGAATATAGCCAGAGCTGGCAGCTGGGACTTCTTCAGTTTGAAGAATGACACTAGTCGTTCATTGCTCTTCAGATTGCTGTCTACCAGGATAAAGAGAATCTGTGACGGAAATAAGAGAAGAAACATGAGCAAAACAGAAAGTGTGCGAGAGAACAGATCCCCAAAGAGTGATCATATGAAGATTAATAGTGATATTTTTGTAAAGAGTTAGAGAAAACCTACCATACACTGTTAGGACAACTTTTTTCTCTGTCACTATCTAACTGCCCCATGCAGTGCATTTTTCTGCATTTTATCAAGTCCAGACTAACACTACCAAACCAAACGTCTTCTTTCACCTTCTTTAAAGAAACATGTACAGTTTGGCAGAAAAGTAGTCTCCACTTCAATTCTCTTAATAGATGAGGAAACAAGGTGTCTTTTATCTTAGTGGCACATGTGAAAGAAGCTGATTCCTCTACTTGCGTGGCATTCAGATAACATGCTCGCATCCATGCAAAATCCAGAGTGGCAGAACAAAAAGTTGTTCTGGTGTGTGGAAAATCAATCTCAATTGCAAGAACATTAGAGTGAAGTACCGGGCAGTGGGAACCTGCGAGGATAGGAACATGAGAGCACCAAACACAAAGGACATATTTAAGTGAGCTGCAGTAAACAGAAATGAAGATACAATCACTTGGGAAAGAGCTGCTGGCAAAGCTACAATGTCCACACAGCTTAGCTCCGTGGAGGGTTGTTCAGACCTGGGGAGAGAAGCTCAACAAAGAATAAGCCAGGATGAGAATGACCTATGGTTTCCTGGGCTCCTGAATAGTCTTGGAGAGCAAGATCAAGCCAAGCATTAGGATTCTGCCAGGATAAATCAATAGTATGTATATATCAGAATTGGTGACAAACTCCATGATTTTATTTTAAAAGTAAGTTTCATCTGAGATCTTAGGGGTGCAGTAGGAATTGGTACAAATATAAAATTCTGGAATCTGAAAGATTATCAATAAAATATACAGCTATCTAAAAAGTCCTTGTTATCTGTTAATACTAAATACAAACATTATGTATTAACTCTATAAAAGAAAAAAAATACAGCAACCGAACAATTTAATCAGTGACCTGATTAAATAGAAACCCTTGCCAGGTGATATCCAAGTCAATGAACCAAATATCCAGTTAACATGCACCATTTTATCTTTTCTTTATGCCGTGCAGTCTACTGGGCCTAGCATATTCAATGTACCTATGGACTTACACAAGAAAAAAAAAGAAGAGTTTTAAAAAAATGAAAGTAATGCAATGTGAAGATGATGTGCCCTATTCCCAGGCTGTGATTCATGTTTTTCTTTCTTTTCAATCAAGAACGCTCAAGTCAGTTCAAAACTATTTTCTTCGCTGAAAATAAACTTAGTAAATCTCAAATTCTTTATTAAATTTATGTCCTATTAAAAAACCCCAAATATATCTGGAAACTTTCCTAGGCAACAGCCTATGGGAAGGACGGATACTTAAGACTGGTGTAAGTTAATCACTATGCAGTTAATCACTATGATACAGAAGCAGGAACAACACTTTCACTGGATATGTAATATTTACCACTTGCAACTTCTCTTCCAAAAGTCAGCTGTGTCCCAATGGCAACAAGCTAGTAAGCAGAACTTCTCAAGAGTGCTAAATTCATCCTTTTGCAGGATAAAACACCAAGCTAGCGAAGAGTCACAAATCTAAGGGTCACAGGTCTAAGGACCTGATCTAAAAGGACAGTGGACCAATGCAATTGCTGTACTTTGGCATCCTGTAACTCTGTGAGCCAAATGAAAGTCATTGGAGAGTTACAGGGTGCCAAAGTACAGCAAAAGTTTCCCAACACCTCTTATATTCCAAAAATACAGGAGAGATGACAATTGAATTTGTCCCCTGTCACTCGAAAAAAAACACCTTAATGCCTATCCCTTGTGTTTCAGAATAACACATTCCTGGTAGGGGAATGAATCTCCCTTCAGCAAAAGGACAGGCCACGTACCCCACACTGGATGTGCTCCAGGGGTGCTGCCAATGCCTGTGTGGCCTCAAAGTCACAGTTGTGAGGAAATCTGTAAGGTGCATTGATGCTGAGGCTGCAAGCACTGGAAGCCTGGTCTCCTCTGCAGCTGGAAACCAAGCAGCTTTCTCAATGGGGACATTTCCATGACAGATGCCACCTCATAGAACTGGCTTTTTCTCACGATGAATTTATTTCATTCAGAGATTGCCAGCCAGCTCTAATTATACAGAATGAATGTAGTGACCATAGGAAATTACACTGACCATGAGACAAGATTCACTTTGCCTCACTTCTGCCATCTGTATCTTAGACTTGACTTGGCCAGTCATCTGGGTAACCTCCGCAATAAAATGCGATAGGCATTTTATTCCACTTATTTTAGAAGGAAAGGAAGGACATGCTTGTCCTTCTCTACCAGTGCTGAAAGAACCTAAAGCCTTTGTTCATACAGTCCACCAAAGCTATAATTCATGAAAGCAAATCTCACTTATGATGCCAACTCTCACGACACTGCTAGAAATGAGCTAGTTCCATGCCAAACAGTAATTTGCTATTTCACACTATCCTGTACAATAGCTGGCTTTTCACTCTGAAATAATTTCCATAAAATTGTTTCATTTTGTAGAAATCTTCTTGCCTGTGTTCAGAGGTCTGCTGCTACAGGCAGCGAAGGATATCCTGCATGGATGAGGAAGTCCTGACACAAATTTTCCCCTCCACAATGGTATTATCCGTGCACTGTCACCTGCAAGAAGCTCCTTTGGAAAATTTTGTGCACTGGTGCTGTCTTGATGTCTTGGCAACTTGATTCCTAGCCCAGTGCTTTTAGAACATCGAGTTCTTGGTAAATACTAAGATACAGAACGATGTTATTGCCCAGAGAACTAAAGTTAATTGAAAATAGTACTCTAATGGTCGAAATCAGTTTGACGTTACTTAGTTTTTCCTCTAACAAACACAAACAGGAAGGATGACCAAGCCTAGTATCCAGTGTTTTATTTTGAACTTCAAGGAGCTGCAACCTTCATTCTTTGAGGAGACTGTATAAGTAAAAAGATGAAAGTCTGAAGTTTGAGTAATTTCTTACATAGCTTACATAGTACATCAAAGCAAAATGAAAAAATTAGTTATGAATCTAAAAAAAAGCAAGCTATAAAACCAACTTTACTGCAGATATTGGTTAAGCAACATAGACAATCCATATGTACATTCTCCCTTGTTTATGGTTAAAAGAGGAATCTCTAAATATTATCTTTCGCAGCTCTGGAGTCATCAATGTCTGAGAAGAAAAATAAAAAGCCTATGAATGACCATCTGCAAGAGAAAGGGCACCATCCTTTCATTTCCATGGCAGAAAAGACTCTTGGGATTTTCTCAGAACTCATTTCTAAATGGACCTGCATATAAATAAAAAGGGACTTTGCAAACATCTCTACCGAAATAATTTTGACATTGTAAAATAGTTATATCAGTTGCAGGTAAAAGCTGCTTCTGTTATTCCCAATATTACCTTACTGAAACTTCTGCAAACACCCATCAGGTTCACCTGCTGTAATTGTCATTTTACACTCAGATACTGTGGTAAGAAAACTGAAGATGCTTATGCTAGTTTGGCTCAGCAATAAAAGCTCTGACATTTCCTTTCCAGTAGAAAGCCTGGAGTCTTGGCAGGACATTCTCAAATAAGCACATATTTGATTGCAGTGGGATCCTTCCAAGAAGGCTGGTGGATTCACTTCTGCAGCTGTGACGCTCTGAGCTCTGTCTGTTCACTGTTACCCACCCACAATTGTTTCTCAAAGTCTGCTAGAAAAGTACCATATTTCTTCTTATTCTGTCAGCTCTTGCTGACATTTGCACTTCCCTCTCTGGCATTTTATAACCCCCAGGCTCAACAATAAAACCTAGAGGAATCTAGACTGCCTTCAGACACTCCCTGCTGCTCAGGGTGCAGTTCAGGCTGTTTTCAAACCCCAGTAATCACTGTAGAGCCTCATGGAACCTCCAGCTGAAAATCTCAGCTTTCTCTCAGGAAAGAGAGAAAAGATCATAAACCAGAGGTGAAGAGACCATAATCCAGGAATTGGCAGATGAATCACTTATTTGTGATCCATTAACGGTTGGTCTCAATGATCTTAAGGGTCTTTTCCAACCTAGATGATTCTATGCTCTTCTTCACTCTTTGGGGTCAGCCACTCAGCAGTAACAGTTCCTCTTCATGTCTCCATCAATCCAAGCAACAAATTTCCCTTCTCGCTCCAGCTGGTGACAGCAATGACAAGGACTCCTCTTCCCTCAGAACATAGCAGAGATGTGTGAAGGGATCGGTACCCTTTCTGCTGATTGGGAACCCTCTCAAGGCTCTGCTTGTGTTCTGCTCTTGCTCGTAGAGAAGTTGCAACATGCACCGAGTCTCCCTACTCTCTTTTGGCTCTCTGCAGCCATTGTAAAGTGATTTACATCTGGATAATTGCTGGATGCAGTGGCACGTGCTCACAGAGAGCCCAAACACCTCTTCACTCCACAGGAATATACTCCTTGCTCGAACCACTGACAGCACTAACCCCACAGAACAAACAATCCTTTCACCACCAGCCCACAGGCTATGAATTACTCACTGGTAATCCTAAATAAAATTCAAGAATCTTACATTTATTCACAGACAATCTGTGAGCTGCAAAAAGGATAAATCTACTCAATGCTTTACTTGTTTTGAAGTAAATCTGAGATAATTTGGTAATCCTGACAACAGACAATCCCACTTAGGAAAAACAGGCAGCAGAGATTTCCACAGTATTCTGCCGTGGCTGCTTCTGGTACTCAAACTAATTCATGTTTTTCTACGTGTCAGAGCAATGGAGACAAACCAAAGTGGGCATACCACTCTGCTTACTCCTTAGTATACAGATCTAAGACCCAAAAAGCAGGATCCTATCTCCCTCTTACTGCTTTGTAAGAGGGTCAGTCCAAATAACAATTTACTCCTTACAGTGCCACTCCTTTGGGGAAAACAACTTACTAGTCCCTTCATCCATGTGTCCTGTGGTACCACTGCAGTAAAGCAGAAATAATTAGTCAAATCCCACATATTTAATCTCCATATTTTACTCTGGCAAACTTCTAGATTGATTTGGTGGGAAACTTGACTCTAAGAATTAAAAAAACTTAGATTTGGCTTGCCGACAATTCATAAATTATCTGGACTTCAGTATAACATTTTATCCAATGTTTTGTGAAGTATTTCTAGGAAAATTGTTCACATTTGCTTACACGTGCATGTCACATGAAGAGAAAACTGGCTGTAGCCACACCAGCAAAGGATAATGATGTTAAACAGCAATGCCCTGGGGGGAGACCAGAATCAGACTCTGCTGCTTATGGAGGACAGGGATAATGGTGTCACTATAACACACACCTCACACGAAAAAGTGGGAATTTTTCAGATAAGTGACTTTTCTTTTATCCCTATGTACTCATCAAGGCAAAACACTTTTGACCATTTGACTTTTATTTCTGGTTTCTGTCTAGGACAGATGGCAAGGTCCAAAGCAGTCCTGTCATAAATGAATTTCAAGATTTCTGAGGGTGTACAGTTCTAAAGTGACTCCTCTATTTGAAAATGATTATTTTAATCTGACCCTTCAGTACCATAAACAGATGCATGCAGATGTCCTTGTTCTTAAATCCTAACTCTTCCCAGCTCCACTCTCCTCCCAGGAAGATCTCTTCCACTGCCTCTCAGCTTCGTTTTCTCTGTTACTGTGGCCCTCTGCCTCCTCCTATCACTGTTCTCCCTTGCTCCAAATGCCTTCCTATTGCTCCCAACCCTCCTTTGCTTGCTAGTTCCTTCCTCTGTTCCCTGAACACAAATTCCCCTGTAACCCAGCTGCTGGCAGAAAATCATCCACGGGGAAATTTACTATAGGGGGAGCTCTGCCAACAGAGGGGTGTGAACCAGGTGAAATTTCTCTGGAAGATCCCATTTATTCCATCATCTTAGTGCGGGAAATCCGACAAACGCATTTGCAACTCCTTTAAAATAGCTATTTCCCCAGGATCCAATCAGAAGGCTAAGGGTTAAGAAGCACTGCAACATTAATTGCTGTCTGGTCACTTATATAATGGTCCTTGGCATCTTGCAGGCTGTATATACAAAATCATCTCTTACACCAGTGGAATGCAGCCATTGATGGACTGAAGTGCAGCAGCTGTTCGTCATCTCCCAGTGCAAGGGAACAAAACTGAACAGAAGCAAGGAAGTACGTAATGTCCCACTGAGGGAGCAGAGGAGCAGGATACAGAGGATATTTTCCCCACGAGGAGGCAAAGTAGCAAAAGGTGAACAGATCCAGCCCCTCCACTTAATTACCCAGCTAATCCTCTTTTCCTGACACTTGACTTTTGCTCCCCTAATGCACAGAGAAGATTATGCTCTCCTCATCCATGGAAGAAATCACTGGTCTCCCTTTTTTTTCCCTAATGGTTCCCCTTCCTCTCCAGTCTTACCTTCCCCTTGAAGAGCTCCGCTGCCGCCCGGTATCTGCGCATTCGCTCAGGGTGCTTTGGGGACATCTTGTCTGCGATCAGGAGGAGGTTAAACTGGAGCGAATTCTGCATCACACCTATTGCTGTCTGCCGAAAACAGGGCCACCACAGAGAAACACACACAGACAAGGCGATTGAGAACATTCAATCCGCATTGGGTGCAGAGCCAGAGTGATACCAGTCCTCATGCCTCAGCTAAGTTTTGTCTGCAAATCAGCCTCACAAGCAGGACAGCTTTCTTTGAAGCAGGGAGATCCAATCTGGGTTCTTTGTGGATGTACTTAACCTCCTGGCTTTGCTTATTCTCCAGACGAGAATCTAAAGACCATAGGGTTCGTCAATGGCCTCAGGTTAGTCAGTGACTAGGAAGGGGGACTGCCTGGATGCAGCAAGCTGAAGTCTAGAGGGGCAAGGAAGTGGAGAGGGAAGGCCAGCAAAGACTGAACATCAGTGCGCTGAATCACTGTTGTCCAACACCTGGCCAAAATGGGAGCAAGAAAGTGGGAAGGATTTGTGGTGTCACAGTTGATGTCTCCCTCTATCTTTTTTCTTTAGTGTGAGGCTGTGCATAGGATGCGTATGAGTCTAGAGTTTCATTAGCCTCAGGGCCTGAGCATTCCAGAGTGCTGAGGGTTAAAATTGCCTCTGCAGCCCCACAGTGGGAGAAGTCCTGGAGCCAGCTGTCCTTCATACACTGAGCAAGGGCCAGGTGGGCAGCACACACTGGTCCTCTGTGAGGAGACAGGGCTGGCACTGCCCAAGGAGCTGCTGCACCATCTCCGGGCACTCACTCATCATCTCATTTCTCCTTCTGCACGCTTCCTGCTGCCTCGCCCTCAAACTAAACAGCAGCCTGGCCAGACCTGCTCCCTCCCCCGTGCCACCAAAACCACGGAGGTGCAGACTGTGCAGCTCCCCTACAGCAGCAGAAGTAAGTTTCCACACGCTCCCGGAGCAATAAGGAAGAGGTCAGGGAGTGCATGCTGGCAAGGGCTGTGCACCGCAAAGCATCAAGTTTTTGGCAGACAGGACTCTGCCACTAACCTAATATTTATCAGACATTTTGTATCCCTTCACTTCCCTTGCCAGTGTGCAGATGGAGCAGGGGAGAGTAGAGGCGATGCAATCCAAGGCTGGAGAGCATTAGAAGGTCTCATGGGAGAGGTCAGGGATAAAGGTGAGGGTGGAGTTGGCCAGCACCAGGGGCCATGACAAAGCCAGGCTGAGAGCAGGCAGGGCTGGAGTAGCAGTTCCTTCAGCACCTCCACACAAAGGTGTGCCTTTCCACTCAACCTTGTGCTTGCAGAGCTCATCACCATGGCCAAGTCACATCTGACTCTCCTGGAAAGGCACAGAGCAAGCATTGCGTAAAAATGCCTGAAGTATGTGGGAGAAACAGTAAGGGCCCCAGGATGGGGAGGGAAACTCTTGGCAGCACTGGGTGTGATCTGCCTGACCCCAGCCTCTGCTGACCCGCAGCATTCTTGCATGTAAACAGCATATGCACTGGGAATAAATATTTACAAAAAACCAAGCTACTTAGCAGAGCTGGGAGGGCTTTGGGCTGGAGACTGCAGGAGGCACTTTTAATTGCCGCACCTTGACTGGACTCCAGAGTGACTGGAAAAAAACCTGAAACAACAGATGTGCTGCCAGTCAGGGTGAAGGGGACCAGCTGAACAGCTCAGGACCTCTCTGTCAGGCAGACAGCCTGCATGCCATACAGGATGCCAGGGAGTGAGAGCCCAAAGCATCAGCAGAAACACATGAAGAAAGAGCCATGATCTAATGAATTACCAAATGATGCAGTGGGGGCTCCAAGGGTTCAGTCGCCTGGGCAACTATAAAGATAACAAGAACATCCCCACTGACATGACTTGGGTATTCTCAAAGGGCTGTGAGGACAGTGGACAGGATATAGATTTTCTGTCCCCAGAAATATTTTATTATTTTGAAATGCATTTTTCACATACCTTATCAAGATGAAAAAAACAAACCCAGGGGTTTTTTGTTGGTGGTGGTTTGGGGATTTTTTTTTTAGGAAAAAAAGTCAGAACTCCTACAGTATTCTATTCTGGAAACAAAATGTTGCATTTCTAAAACAAAATGCTCTCTCTACTGGCAGGCTGCACCTGAAAAGGGGAATGTGTCAGCCCTCTTAGCTGATCCTTGACATCAGCTTAAAAGGTATAGCTTTGAAACAGGTTGGGCCATTCTCCTTCGATTAAACTGAGCCTGGTCAGGACTGTTGTAGCTATTCCAAAATCCACAAAAGACCTCTATCAGCAATGGTAGTCTCAGCCTTGCAGCCATTAGGGCTTCTAAGATCTATTGACTCAACAGCAATGAGTCCAGTGAATTACTGAGATTTAAGAGGAGGCTAAATCCTTTGTCACCCTTTCTAGCAGGGAGGAGCACTGGGACCCTGCCACTGCCAGTCAGAAGAGTGAGCTAATGATGGCCAACATGAAAACATTCTATGTCTGAGTTTTTGTTGTTGTTGAACTGTTGAATTCTGGAGGGGATAGAACAAATTTTGCTTGGGAATTTTCCAGCTGTCTCCTGAATATGCTTTCAAATAGCCAGGCTTACATCAAGCCCTATAAGCTGGGTAATGAAGAAAAGCCTGCCTTCTGGGAGGAGGTCACTCAAGTTTCCATGGTTCTCAAGGCTTCTCAACCAAGAAAAGGAGATCTTGGCTGAGCAGGGTCTGCAGGCATGGCAGAATATGGTGAATGCCCATGGGAGGAAGAAGCACTGCCAGCAGGAGTGGTAAGAAATGGAGCTCTCTGCCAACTAACATCCCAAATCCAGTGGAAAGCTATAGGAACCACCACCATGCCTTCCTTCCTCTCCCCAGCCCACTTGCATCCTCCAGCACAGCATCTGCTTCCAGTCTCTGTATGTAGGAACAGCAAAGAGCTGCATGACTTCCCCAATCCCACACACACCATTGCCACAACCCTCACGCACATCTGGGTGTGCAAACTCTTGGGCCAGAGAATGCTCATGAAAGGGAGTCCAAGCGGTAGGGTGAGGGCTGCGGGGAGCTGGTAATTACCACAGGGTTGTATTCTGTCACCATGCGGAGCTCGTTCATCCGAATAAAATGAGTGATCTTGTCGGCATCAACATCTTTGCTGTTTACAACCAGGTCCCTCCGGTCATTGTCTACCTAAAGACATGCAGAGACATTTACCATCACAGCTGTCCTCTCCTCTCAGCAGCCCCTCCAGAGCCACTGATGGCACTCACCCACAGAGACACCCAGCCCCTGGGACACTGCTATCCCCACTATATGATCCTCACTTCTGGAGGTCCAGAACCTACAGAGACCAGTCTGCACTTTGAGATAAGGATCTTCCACCCTCCTTAGTCTCCCAAGGACAAGGCAAACTCACGACATGACAGAAATCACTGAGGACTCCACACACCCCCACAGTATCAGCTCTTGATGCACTGGAGACAGGGAGGATTAGGTGATAAACTATTCCAGGCATGGTGGGGAGAAATCATTAAATAGCCTAATTCCTCACATCGATTTTGGCTTTATGTTCCTTTTCTAAATCTTCATCTGCTTATTCTTTTTTCTTCTACAAGTAATAAACATTGGCATGGGTCTGTATAGATTTCCTGGAAACATTATGCAAGCAGGAAATCTCTCCAATAAAAAGAGGATTTTTTTTCCAGTACAGCAGAAAAAAAAAATAAATCCAAGCCCGGCACATTCTAGCTTTAGAGAAAAATCCATCTTGCCACACATCTCCCTACACTCCACCCCCCTCCAACCCAAACAATATGAATTTATTGAAGTTTTTGTAACTTGATAAACAGGAAAAAAAAAAAAGCAGTCAATCACTGAATGATATTCAAACCACTTGAAGCAACAGCATTGAGTTGAGCCACAGGGATGCTGGGCTCTGACATGCAATAGGATCAAAGTTTGGGATTTGAAGGCCTCTGATACGCATGTTGAATGAGGTTCTTGGGGCTGAGGAAAGGACCACATGCACTGCCCAGGTTTTATTCTCTGCATCTGTACGACCTCTGAAAGGGCTTGTGTTAGTTTTTCCAGTGGTGTGCAGACATCTAAAGCCCTTTTTGCTGTTCTGTGGTCATCAGCAAGGTCTTTCATCTGGTAGGGGGTCACAGCACCCTGTCTGGCAACCTAAACTGGTGCTTTTCAGACTGCAGGGCCTGGTTCCTCTCACAGATCTTCCCCTTGCATAAAATGAAAGGGCAGCTCTACTCAAGTAAATGAGACCAGTGGAACACCTGGGCGAGTGAGATCAGACAGGCCTCAGGAACCAATCTAAAGTGCCCTGGACTCCACAAAAACTCTTCTCTTGACTTGGAAACACCTGATTTCAATTCTGGGAAAATAACATCTTAACTCCATGGTCAACAGTTACGATTTAAATAAAATAAGGCTGAAAAGCAGCCTGCATCTAATAGTTGAAGCTCTAGTCAAATCTTATCATTCCATATAATTAATTTGCTAGCATCTGTTAATTATGTTCTTTTTAAGTCTATCAGGCCCGATTCCTCACTCGAATAAATTAGTTTCCCTCCACTGTATGCAAAGACTTCACCACTTGACATCAGCCCCTCCCACTACCGTAATTATGGTTTAAACTTCTAAGCATTATGTGTTTCATACTCTGAAAAAGCAAAGAAAAAAGGAGTTTATGCCTCTGATTCACTGCTATCCTGATCACACATCTTTGTATTCTTCAAATGAGTATTTGATTCCAAGTTCCTGTCTCAGTTATTTTTTCTTTTCCTTTTTATCTCTAACCCCTTAATCCTACACAGTATTCAGCACAGAATAAAAGGAAAAATAATGTGTCTGAATAACTTAAGAAAAACTGACAATTAGACAAGTGAATTGTCAACCACATTAGAACCCAACTAGTGTATTTTCTTCTTGGTTGTTGGTGGGGTTTTTTCCAATTAAACAAGAGTTCAGCTGCAAAAACTGGACTGTGAACAAAGAATATTCAATATCATCCAAATTCCAACCATCCAGACACTTTCTTTTATCAAACATCCTCCCTATGCAGTCATCCTCACTATCTGCCACAGCAAAAAAAAAAACAAAGGATCTTTTCAATATTTTTGGAAGAAAACCACCATGACTAAGAAGCAAAACTGAGATGGGTGTTGCTTCAAATTGCAACATGTGCAACATAGCAAATAAAAGGTTAATTAAAAGGATCTGCCTACCTATCGCTTGCTCTTAGATCATTCTCTATGAATTATTTGGATTACGCCAGTGGTAAACACACTGCAGGAAATTATGAGGAAAAAAAGGGAACAAACTGGCTTTGTCCAGTCTTTGCACAACCCAGATCTAGAACTTGGCCAAGCTGTCACATTTACAATGTGTGTGTGTGTGTCTGTGTGTCCTGCTTCCATCTGCTTAGAGCTCTGTTGACACAACACTTCATGGGATTTTAGGACATCTTGTGCTACCCAAGGCCACTCTCCTCCTCAGATACCCCTATCTCTCCAGTTTTCAAGTGCCCCACTTGTGTGAGAAGGGGCAACACAAGGAAGTGGACATAACCAGTAGAATAATTGCTCTAAGCCTTTGTTGGTACACTTGAAGCAGGTACATGGCCCTTCCCAGTATCTCCTCCTTAAATTTCAGCAAACATAGCTTCAAATTCAGTGCAGCACCAGCACTTCAAGCTGGAGCCAACAAATATTTGATCTTGCACAGTATTGATCCCTAAGAAGCTGCAAAGTGACATTTTTCATGGGCCCATGCCCAAAGCATATTTAGGGAATAACTCTGCAAAGTACAGTGTAGGAGACAGAATAGAGTGGGATTTCTTTTGGTGGCAGAGCATCGGTAACAGCAGAGACCCGGTCTGGATCTGGTTCCAGTCACGGTGGAGAAGTTGTGCAGCCACGGAGACAGCTGTGCCTGCCTAAAGTGACACTTGGCAAGATTTGATATCAAGCCTGCTGTATTGAACCTTTGTAACACGGCCTCTAGATGCTTTTCATGTGTCTCAGGAGCCTTTCCAAAACCATGCAAACCCTATCGAAGCGAGCTCCAGGCAAGTCGCTCAGAAACACAGACCTCATTCTTTGCAAAGCACTGGGTGCTGGACCAAATCCATAGGGCAAACACTTAAAATGGAGCATCTCGTCATGTGTAATAAATGCTGCACGTCGCAGTGATGGGCAAGTGAAAAACAAAAGACCTCTTTGGGGCAGGCAGCTCTCCAGATGTGCTTTTAGGTGGGCAGGCAGGCTGGCAATGACAAGCCTTTATTTGGCTTGCTCTAAGGTGAGATGACCAGCTTCAAATCTTCTTTATCACTGCTACCTGGAGATGTCACTCCTGTTCAGTGACCGCGGGCAGTTTTTGAGCCCTCGCCCTACAGCCCCTCTCACCAAAACCAGCCGGGAGGGGAACTCCTAAAGCTGAGGGTTCATTCTGTAGCTAACAGCCCTTTCCCCAGGAGGGAGCCACTCGGGGGCAGCTTCACGGTTCCCTAGCGGGCCCCCGCCCCTCCCCCGCCCCACGCACCCTGCGGAAGAGCCGGACGGTGTTGGCCGCCACGCCGTAGTGCGACAAGACCGCGGAGCTGGTGCTGAGACCGAAGGGCACCTCTGGGATCCGGCCGGCCGCCAGGCGAAACCGGGACGCTTCGGGGCTCTCCGGTTCCTGTGCAGGGAGAAGCAAGAG